AAAGCAAAGGTATATAAACAAAGATCTACATGTATAAAGCAGTTTCACTTAGATGAATATAAATAAAATACACCAAGTGTATCTATATTTCTTTAACTTTTTTCCTATTCATTATTATTTACATAAATTGAAGAGCTATGTCTTTTCAGGTTTTGCTATGACAATGGCAAAATGTTAAAAAAATATTTATGAAATTGAGATGTAAAAGACAGACTTTGTGAAAGCGCCAAGTATAGCAATTTAAAAATATATTTAACCATTATCACTCTGTATGTGACTTTGCTGTACAAAAAGTTTATTCTTCCACTGAAGATGACTGAACCCTGAACAACAGTGTGTTTGAATTTCATAGTTGTGTTATGTCCTGCTATGGAAACAGAAAACAACTTTGAGTGAAATTAACAGTAAGGATATTGCAATTGAGAGGCTTTGAAAAAGAATGTAGTGGAAAGGAAAGTAATATTAATGCAGAATGCTAAAGATGAAAAGAATATTTTATAATAGTAAGGATTTTACAAGATACAAATTTCTTATATGCTATAATTTTTAAATGCACAGATAAACTAACAGAGTCTAAGGCAAGACAAATGTAACATTAATTCCAGACTTAAAAAGGTTGTGTGTGTGTGTTTCAGTATTATTACTCGTGAGAGCTTCAAAAAGTAATCTCCTCCATATAATTACTTTCATGTGAGTAACCAAAGAGAAAACCAGTGGGTTTTATTTGAATCCTTATAGGATATGGAAGACTATTGTTATTTCTTTAATGTTCCCCAAAACCAATAATAAAGAAAAGCCTGAAGCAATCATGTTAACCACAGAAATTACAAATGCTCTGATCCTGAAACTGCAATAGAGAAGTGCTGCACTTCTAGGACCTATCCAAATTACACTTTCTGATTTACACCTCATATAAGAGCAAGGTGAAGACCTCAGAATGAAAGTGTAAAAATGATTAAGTATTCTCATCATTTTGCTCTATCAATCAAACTATATCAGAATTGAATAATCAAGTTTACTTATGTACCTGATTTGATTATGGTCAAGGTTTCTATTTTCTGTTGTCAAATCAACTTTACTAACAAAATGCAATAAGAAAAGTGTAAAAACTGTTCATCTCAAAAAATCAGGGTCTCAAGGAAAACAATTTTGAGTGAAATTAACAGTAAGGAATTGATCCATAGATCTTCAAGGCTTCAGCTTGAAGATATGTGGATCAATTTCAATCAAACAATGCAGTACTTTATATACAACCTGTTTTTGTTATGAATCAGATTTTACTGCTCAAGGCTATATCACATTCAAACATTGGTTCTCTTATGATCATCAAAGTTAAGCAACATGAAGCCTGGTCAGTATCTAGATGAGTGAGTGTTTGGGAATAACAGGTGCTGTAAGCTTGGATGTGCAGATGGTATGGCTTAAGGCCATTTTATATTGCAAAGGGATAATTTCTGTACCATTTAGGCTTACAGCCATATGTTGAAACACCGATTCTTATGCAATCACTGACATTAAGCAATGCCAAGCCTGGTCAGTACCTAGATGGGTGACTGCTTGGGAATACGAGGTGCTGTAAGCTTGGATGTGTGGATGGTGTAATGGATAATGGCTCTGATTTGGAAATTGAAAAGCTGAGTTCCAATTTCAGTTGAGGGTTGTTATATTCACTTATGTGTAAATACCTTTGGGAAAGGTATGAACCCACCTCTTCTGCCACCAACTATGAGTTAATTAGTAGAATTTGTATCAGTAAATCATTATCTGTCAAAAAAAAATTCCTAATATTTTCTGGCTTTAAATAATCTACAAAAGGTTGATAAGCCATAAACAAATCAATCAATTTACTGATAAAGTTCAATATTTGAATCATGCAGGTATTTCTGCAGTACTTTCTTTAAAATCTTCCACTACAAACATTTAATAAATATATAAAAATACATGTTTTGGGCATAAAAGCATCAAAAATAAATGGGAAGAGAAAAAAAAAATTTTCATCTTTTTATTAAATGCTGTTGTTATTTCCATATATCACCATATAATAATAATAATCAAATACTCTGAGTTAGACAAGACAATGACCAGTGGTCAAATGTTTAGCATAAAAAAATTCAGTCCAGTAATTTGTTTTATATTTCAGAAGTAAATACAACTAAGTGATTATTTATGAAATAAAAGAAAAAAAAATACATGTGTATGTATATAAGGCCAAGTCACACATTCTTAAATGCAACCCCAGGTTCAAACAAACAAAATTCATCATTAGTCATACCTAGATCTTCTATGGACGTACTGAAAAGGAGGTTAGTGAGAAATATACGAGTATATAAACATATTTAGTTAATGGGATTTTTATCCTTTCATGTACAGTGGTGTACATCAATTTCATGTACAGAAATGCCAAATGAATTACCCACCATAGAGAGGTGAACCCATTACCAGTGTTAGTAAATGTTGGGCAAATCAGGCTATCTTGAAGAGAGAGAAAAAAAAATCCCTATGTACATATATAAACATACATGTCCACTCAGCCATACATAAATACACAACTCTTCATAGCTTCATATAAATCTTCCATATATGCACATAAATTGTAGAGCATTTTAAGTGGTTCACAGCTATTGCTTTATATTAGTAATTTCTGTCACTACACTCAACCAGTGACTTTCAAATGATCACTGGAATGTATAGTCATTCTGGTAACATTGTTTGGTTCCTCTATACCACCTTTTTGCTTTGGGCAGGGAGGGGGGAGAAAAAAAAAAAAGGACAAGTGAATCATAACTGTTAGATGACTAAATTTGAATTCACTCAATTTATGCAAACTGCAATATAAAACTTGAAGAAATGCACAATTCCTCACATACATTAAGGCTTGTCCTATACATGTATTCCATACTCCCTCCCCAGCATCTCCAAATCAAGATTTAATTGAGGGAACTTAAAACTGCCAAACAGGGTGATAGGGGTTATTATAGCACGCACGCACACACACGTGTATAAATAAAATACTATAAAGAGAATTTATTTGTACTGAATGAGAACCGATATAAAAAAAAAAAAAAAAAGAAACCAAGTTTTGTATCCCTCCTTGGATACATTTTCTTATTTTCATTTAATGATACAAAAAGTCGACTGGATATTTTCTTTGTGGTGAATGTTTTACCAAACAAGTTTACTTTCAGTTAAAGAAAACTTAAAAGGGACATTGCACATGACCATGTAGTAAAACGTTTCAAACCAATCCAAAGTTAATAAAAACTGGCAGCAGAAGGAGAGAGAGAGAGAGAGAAAAGTAGGATGATATATACTGAACGTATATACAAATAATTTTGAAATATAAAAAAAAAAAAAAAAAATAAAAAAAAATCAATTATTGGAATTTCAATAATATTTGTTCTACAGAAGAAAATGTTTATCCAAGTCACCCCATTTGGCAGTAAAGGCAAACTAAAGTTAAAAATTTAACTACATATATTTATCAGTATTTTAATAGAAGTGTGGTCCTCCAAAACTTTTAAACAATGAAAATTGAGATTTTAGGACTTATACAAATCAGTATTCTTTAAAACGTTCTTGTTTGTACCAAAACAAAATCCTTTCTCATAATTTGTTGACAAATTTCTATTTTCTTTTAAACTTGAAAAGATATCTGAACTATTTGTATCTCTGATATGACACACAAGAATCTTCATTTAATTTTGCATTGAGATGATATACAGCAGTTTTGGTAATCAATTATCTCCCCTTACGTATATATATATATATATATATATATATATATATATATATATATATATATACACACACAATTTACAAAGTGTAACTTCATTTAGGCAAAAAGGCTACAGGTATGGGTTCCCAATGATTGTAGTTATACTTACAGAATTTGAAAACCAAGTTCTATAAATATAAATATATTGTTTTTTCTACAGTGTGTGTGTATATATATATATATATATATATATATATATATATATATATGTGTGTGTGTGTGTGTGTGTATGTATATATATATATATATATATATATACACACACACACATATGTACACAATAAAAAGACCATTTTTTTATTTTTTTTTTTATTTATTTTATTTAGATTTTGAAGTAACCAATAGTTGAATTTTCTTAAATCTAATTTATCAATAATTTCTCAAATGAACTTTGTCTAGCACAAAAATCTAGAGCCCCCAGTATGGATCAAATTAATTAAACTAGTAATGATCTGCGAGACTAGCTTGCTAACTATTATGGCAAGAACCCCTTATAATGAGTATATAAAAAACTTTGCAAAGATGTTCTAAGAAGTTATTAGATGCAAACTCTGAATATTTATGAATTACCCATTTGCCATACATGTAAGTATTCATAAATATGTTGTAACTTTGCATCTAAAAGATGGTAAATAAAAATGATCAGAGATTACACTGCTGGTTGTAGGATGATGAGATAGATTAGGATACTGGTCAAAATGAACGCTTAATGATCCATGAAGCCTTAATCTCATAATTACGGACATATGTGAACAATGATAATGTGAGAAGCAAAGTTAAAACTCCACCAGTGGGTCAAACCTTGTTTTCATTGCAATATACTTAATAGGAAAGAAAAATAAAAATGAAAAAAATCTATGCATTATTTCTGAATCACAAAAGCAAGAACCATTAGAATCAAAACTAGCAATAGAATAGAATTGAGGGGTTATTTAAGCTTGTAAACAATGTTTTTTCTTTTTTAAATCAGGAAAAGTATACTTTTGAAAATATAGAAAGAAAAAAAAATAAAGTTCTACATTGAACAGGGGGAGGGGCACATAAAAACAAGAAAATAAAAAGGTACAATTCAAAATGATAATTTCTGTAATCCTTTCTCTTATTTTGCACACTTTCAACCAGTATTCACTTTCTAACCATTCAAACAAAAAAAAAGAGGAAGGGAGGGGAGTATTTATTTATTAGTAACAGATTAGAGAATTTTAGTAGCAAAAGTAACAAGTGACTAATGGCTGATTTTTCCCCTTTTTAATGTACCCAGAGAGAGAGAAGGGGTGGGGGTAAAGTTAAAGAATACTAGGGAGACAAATTTGTAAAGTGTTGGGGGTGGGCTGGAGAAAGAAGTGAGATTATAATCAGAGATTAAAAAATTGAGCAGAAACATCAGAAGAGAAGTATTGGAAGTAAATGCAAATGTACAGCATAAGAGAGAGAGAGAGAGAGAGAGAGGTCCTCTGTCTATCACAGTTTGGTAGATAAATCCTCCTAATGCCAGCTCAAGCACGGTAGTACATTAGGAAAGACTTCAGTGCCAGAGGCAATGGCAACTGTTTTATTTTTTCCTGCAAGTACCTACTTATATTCTCCTTGGGTTTTGTCTCCTCAGTCTCATTTATATTGTCTGCAGAACTATGTGACCAGGCACCACTGTCTGTGCCAGGTGATTCTTTATTGCTGTTGAGCCCATCCTTGCCACTGTCAGCATCGGAGTGGTCACTCATTGTGCCAACACCGGACGTCTCAGATGTGTCAGCACTGGCAGTAGAAGAGCACCACACTTTGACCTTTGTGGTGACAGGAGGAGATGTACGTGCGGCAAACACATTGCGTTTCAACAATTTGGGATTAGTAAATCCAAAGTTCTCCTCTTCAGAGTCTGAATCATCATCAGAGATGTTATCGTTAGTTTTTTTCCGACCATTGCTGGTGTCCATTGACTCGGCAGCGGTGGTGGGTGTACAAGCTTCTTCTTCCTCATCTTTTTCCTCACTGGCACCTAAAGTTTGCCCAATCCGAAAGCGGGTGCGGTAGCGAGGCAACTTTTTCACAGGTGTAGATGAACCATCACTCTGTTCATCAACTTCCATCTTTACACTCAAGGAATTTGATGACTTAGGGCAAGCCCGTCGTCGCACACCACCAGGGACTGTTTGGTCAGAAGATTCCTCTTCGGCTGTATCATGTTCAGAGCTGACACTTTCCTCTGAGCTTGAAGGAGAGATGACATTTGGAAAGTACTGATCGTCATCATCATCATCATCATCGTCACTATAGCAACGCTCTAGCATCATCATTTGGAATTGAATCCGTCTGTCTTTGGTAGCTTTGCCATTTTTGCCATTCTTGCTGGCTTTGCGTTTGGTTCTGTGGTTATTATGCAGATAGGGATATTCTTTGAGGATGTTGGCACGCAGGATGCTACGGATGGCAATACGGGCAACATCTTGAAGACTAGGCAGCTGGACATCAGCTGGAATGAAATGCAAATTATTATTAAAATACTTATATATTTGAGAATTTCAAAACCAAGTCATAAATTTATACAAACATTAATGCCTAGGAAAAACAAGTCTTCATTAATATATACTATGCTTAAAAGACTAATATATAATCTTCTTCTTATGGTTTCATTTTTTAAAGACTATACATTGTCCAAAATACATTTCATTAAAGATTTTTGGTCTGTTGAATTTATGATTGATGGTAAACTAAATATTTTTAAAATAAATCTTTCCCCTCACAAAATGAGCCATCTGTTTTCAATTTTTCTTTGAAAAAGGAAGAGAAACTTTATTTGAATAAATCTTAAAATTCATTAAAATCTTTCTATCCCAACAGATTTGTAATAAAAGTTAAATCTACCAAGATGTATTTCTGACAGAACATATGAAAAAGTGTCAAGGCTATCCTTAAGCTCCAACTGAAAAGCATACTTTTACTCAATCAGATTATCATATTTCCTATTTTAGATGAAAATTGAAGATCTGCCAGTCTAAGACAATTTGAAGAGCTGCATTAAATCCTGTGTACTTACGTAACTCAACAGTTTCTGTATTACTGTCTTTTGGAGGAACAAGGGATGCAAAGGACACAGGAAGGACATTTTTTGTCTCCCAACTTGTCTCGCTTATTCGACGAATCTGTAACAACTTGAGAGAGTGACAGTGATTAAATTACAATGTTTGAGAATTTTCACAAACAGAAACAAACTTTTTTTCATGCATGGAAAACAAAGCTTAAAGCTAGTATTCCCATGAAGATGAACCTTACTTGACATTGTCCAATTGCCATTAAAAAAAAAAAAAACAATCAAGTGAGTAGAAGTCAACAGTTTGTAACAGAGCAACAATTTTGTTGAAATCACTTCACATATGTAAATGATATGTGTATTAAATTGGAAAAACATATTTTGAATTTTGTGAGTACAATGTTAAAAAAATGATCTTCAGCCAATCATGAAACACGATAATTTTTATAAGCTTGCATGCTGTAAGAAATAATAAACTGAGGATTCTTCAGAATTCAGTGATGTGTATGCGAAATAAGATTACTTTTGATTTGGTTATTTACACTATTTACATTGTTTGGACTGTTCCCATCTTTATTGTCATATTCCCAATGTTTCGGCCGTTGTATGCTCTGGCCTTCTTCAGGTGATATATGTTGGAATTTTGAACTGAACCCTTTATTTAGTGCACTGTTGTAAATTGTTCTAGTTCCATGTACCATGCTTTTTTGGATATCTTAGTTATTTATCAGTGGAACTAGAACAATCTACACTTATGGACTAAAAGGGTTTAGTTTGAAATTCCAGTGTGAAGAAGGCTGTGTTGTACAATGGCTGAAATGTTGTGAATATGACAATAAAGATGGGAACAGTTCAAATAATGTAAATAGTTACAATACCTCTTCTCAGAAATATAAACAGAATTTTGATTTGGATATGTTACAGTTTAAAGTGGAGCATGTAAATATCAAACAAGCAACATTGTTATGAATCTGGCTCAATGTATGGCTTTAATTTACACTGCATGATGTAAATGAATTGGGGGAGGGGATTCATAATACAATAACTATGAGATACAAGAGAGTCAAAAAGTCAAATTTAGTCTCATAATTAATGTCACCATAACAGTAATATTTATTCCTCCAAAGTATGCATATATATGTAAGTTAAGAGACCATATTTCTGTTCATTGTAGGTTGAAGTGATATAGAAAAACAGGGAAAGGCAAATACATTTTGGAATGATGTTTCTTCATTAAATATTTGTCAAATATATGAAGAATGAAATGTAAAAACATTAACCTGGTTCAAAGAAATAGTTACCTGGTCATTGAGAGGCATAACAAGAATGCCACCCACATTAATGAGATTCTTCATGTAATTTTCATGTTCTGCTGGGCAAGCTGCACCGCAGTAGACACGGTCATAAAGACGTACACCAGAGTTCAATTGAAGGCAATTGCCAACCACAAATTTTGGTTCACAAAATTCAAACTCGTCAAACATTTCTGATTTTAGTTTAAATTCTTCAAGACGATCAAGGGCATATTGCACACCATCATTGTGCAACTCAATGCCATGATTTATACCGTACGGACCTGAAAAAAAAAATAAAAAAGAAAAAAAATAAAGAGATCAAATTAGGATAAAGACATGATCTTACTGTGGATTGACTCAGTATTTGCTTAGTACTGTCATCTACAAAGATTGACACTTAAATACTATATTATTAACTTAAAACAGAATCACCAGTTTGAAATATCTAACACCAACTAGATGCTTTATACTGTGACTATTAGATTATTGTAGCTTCTATAGGTACCAAGCTGACAGGGAGAAAAGACTATTCCTAAAATCAAGTTAGACAGCCATTATCAGAGCACTGGTGATGGAACCTATTCATAGCAGTATTAAACTACTGAGCCAATCCTATAAAGTTAAATAAAATTAAAAAAATAAAAAATAAAAAAAAAATAAATAAATAAATATACGAATCGAACAAACCTAAAATGAGACCAGCCATGGTACTAAGGTATCCAGTACCACTTCCAAGATTTAGAAAAGAGAGCCCTGGTTCCAGTTTGAGAGATTCCATAACCTCTGAATAAATGCAGGGTGCTGATAAATGTAAATGCCCATGTTTCCAAGCCACATCTTTATAGGCATTGTCACGATGTTCTGGCAGATAGTAATTTGCTCTGTCAACAGCACGGAATACCTTCTCAATCAATGGAGTGCTGATGTAGTTGCCATTCACTAAATTATCAACAAGTTCATCATTGTCATCACCTGTACTCACAACTCCACCCATTGTTTATTGGATGCTCCTGAGTGGAGAAAAAAAAAAAATCTACAATAGCATTTTAGAATATCTTATTGAACTTAAAATAATAAAAGCAGAATAAGTAAAAAAGAAAAAAAAATGTGTTTATTCTTTGGTATTATATAGATTGTAACCTGCCCGGAGAAGTGATGTAACCATATTCACACAAAACAACTTTCAATTGTTCTTATGTGATAAATTTTCTCATGATCTTTTAAAATACCAAATTAACATTTGATAAAGACATTTTCTATTTTCTTTTTTTCAGTAATAAAAAAACAAAAAAAAAAAAAAAAAAACAAAACAAAACAAAACAAACAAACAAAACAAACAAACAAAACAAACACAAAAACAAACACAAAAACTTATGTTAGCAACTTGAAGTAATACAGAAGAACTTCCTGGATTCTTTCAAAAAGAACAATTATTTAAAAGAGATTGACAAAAATAAACTGATACAAAACACTTGTCGACTGAAGATGATTGGAGACCTTGTCACTTGAAAATTAAGGAATAATTAATACAAACAGAAATGTTTTGTATTTTACTGAACTTTCACCTCAAGCAAAAACAGTATTCATTAACATTTTTTATAGAAATGATAAGGAGAGAAAGATTGTTTATAGAATTAATTTCAACCTTTCCCTACTTTTTCCAATTAGAATCACTTGACTTATTGCCATTTAAGAGAGACATAGTGTATCCTGATAAGAATGGGAATGAGGAAAGGGGATTACATTTAGAGCATTTTGTATGTCGAGATTTAATGTGTGCACAATGTAAAAAAATATAAACGCATAATGTTCAGTGGAAAAGCTTCTGTTATTTTAAGGATCCAATAAAAATAGTAATGATGTTATTTGCTGGGTTGACATAAAAAAAAAAAAAAAAAAAAAAAATTTAGTAAGTAAATAATAAAGATAAAATTTAAGAAATTTTCAACATTAACTGTATTGAACAAATTTACCATTTTGCTCTACTATTATCTACCATATTTCTAACAATATTTTAATTCTAACCTTCCACAAGTTTTATTTTTCTTTTTTTAAGTCTTTCTCAACAAAGAACTTCTATGGATGATTTCTGTAGTTTTCCCCAAATTGAATACCCCCCCCCCCCAACAAAAACAAAAAAACAAGTGAATTCTCTAAATACTGGCCTAAATAGTAATCTAAAAATGGTGTCTAAAGAAACATTGTGAAAGAACCATCTTGATGGAATATTATACCATTTTTCTTAACTGTTTTTGGAAACCTTATTGCTGCCTCCAATTGAGCCAATTGGGATCAATAATTGCTTAAATTAATCATTTGGTTTACAGGAAGAGCTCATGACTTTCAATTCCACCATACACAATATCACCTTATCTGGAGGAAAGACTGGCATTTGATATGGTTAGTGTTCATTCATTTCACTTATTTCACAATCTTCTACATTCCACTGTTATGTATCCACAGTTCACTCAGTAGTTTTTTTTTTTAAGCTATTCATATAGAAGCCACACATGAAATCAACTTTGAGTAATGTTCTTAAATAACCTTGTCAGATCAAGACAATCTGGTGGTCATGCATGGTGACAAATTTGTTCAGCGATATCTAAACTGTCAGTTGTATACAACCACTTTCTCAGATCAACAGTTAAAAATGGCTTTGAGCAAATAATGCCTGTAGCTCTTAGCAAGGACTATTTTTCTTTGAACATTGTAATGGCACTACAGAATCATAAAGAACTGTATCAAATAAAAGAAACCACATCACTTGAAGATTTACAACAACAACTAAAATAGACAACACATGTATCTCAAAGAGAAAATAATGACAGAATCAAGATGTTGACGTTCCACACTACTTCAAACAAAAGGTTAGGAAAGAAACCCCTATCAACAATGGAAATAGCAATAACAGTTACTAGGCTTGAAAAACTTATTTTTTGGAAAAATTCTTTTAAGCAAAATATTTCATAAATTTCAGCCAAAAATAATACTGGCTGCTCAGTCAAATGCCAAATGTTTCCTTATAAGGAAACAGCTAATATTACCATTGCAGGCAAGCTGGTGCAGCTGTTTTTCAACACTTGGAATTTTTTTTGTATGTTGGTTACTTCCCATAATGTTGATCTTGATTTGATTTCTATTGAGCTAAAAAAGGTCTATGGGCACACCATTCAGTGAGAAATCGCCAATATAAAAATTTACAAACCACTTCTGATATGTTTAATAATTTACAGTACTTTTCCACCTCCTCACAAAAGCCTTTCTTCTGCATCAGACTTATATTTTTTCTTAACGAGAAAAGAAAAACAAAAACATAAAATACACAAAATATTGCTGGTTTCCTTCCAGCTTTGATGTTAGAATCAATAAATTAAAAAAAAAAAAAAAAAAAAAAAAAAAAAAATTGCTTTTTAAAAAGAAAATGCATACTGATCTAACACCTGTTACAAGACAGGTGTTGAAATGTTCTTGGACCAATCCACTAACCAAAATCTAGCCAAATGACCAAACATCAATTTGGGGGAGGGGGTGTCTTGGTCAGGGAGAGAACTTTTCAACATAATGAAATTATTATTCTGAACAAAATTACAGTTAAATGCTCCCAATGTCACCAAATAAAAAAAAAAAAAATTTTTTTAGTGAACCCAATAAAATTAACAAATACAACACCTACAATTCAGTTCACAACATATAACACAGAAGCTGATAATTTTGAATAAAAAATTAATGAATTAAAAAAAAAACCCAAAAAACAAGCTGTAATGAATTTCATCAAATAAAGACATTTGATAATTAGAAATAATTGGTCAGATTTCATATGCAGTTTAGCTTATCAAATTTAAGAGTAGTCATCTTGCCCAGTGCCCTTTCACTTCATGTGGCTTTTCTAACAAAAGAAAATAATCCCATTCTATCCACCTTGCTTTATATTACAGCACTTAATAAACAGAAAAAGTACTTGTAATTCATCAGTCTTTCCTCAATTTTCTTAAAAATTAGAATCAATGATTTATGATAGGTAATTAATAGAAGAAAAATTGTATTGAATTAATGTATAGAGTTTTTCAAATATTGTTTCAAAGCTCAAAAACTAAAATGGCAAAATATGATGAGGCAAGTAACTTATCGACAGTGGTTGTAATGATAAAATGTGAATCTAGCAGATCTATGACAGCTTTAGCAATGAAAGCAATGAGCAGAAAGTCTCTACACAATAGTTTCTCAAAGAAATGTAAACAAATAGCAATTAAGTAGCTGCTAATCTGGACTAGTGATCTCCCTCAACAATAACATGCTGCCAGCACTTTTTTGTTGGTATTTTGACTCCAGTTATTTGGCATCCTTCATTTTGATGTTTGTTTTTGGAGTGGCATTATAAAGTAGACACTTGTTGTCAAGGAATGATGCTTATTGGTTAGCTAACTAATCTCAGAGACTATTTGTAAATGTTGTAACAGTTCCATCCTAATTGGCTGCTTCTTGGTGATTGTTGTCCTGTTCCAAACTAAACTGAGTAACTACAGTGGTCAAATGACAAACACTCATGTCTAACATGGTTTCTTTACAATACAGTGGGAAGAGAAAACACAAACATATACAAAATTTTAATTAAAATATGGAAATGAAGAGAGATACTACATAAACTTGGGGGGGGGGGTAAAAAAGATTTTAAATTCTTCAAGGCTATTCTTTTTTAGTGTCCCTTTATGACGTGGGCGATCATGGTTCTTCACAACTTCCTATCCTTTGTAGCTAAGTAAGGCTGTTTATCTTTTTAGCATGTTCTGCCATCCATACACAAGCTTCTTACGTAAGTTACTCGATATTTTCCTCTGCCTCTCTCGCCGTCACAATATGTCCTATCAAATTTTCTAAGCCCTCTTTTCTCATGTCTCAAAAATTTCAACTGTCTCTTTCCGATTCAAATAAACTACTTTTTGTTTCCATTTTCCTTAAAACTTCCTCGTCGCTCATATACTCCGTCCATAGTATGTTAACTAACACCAATCTCTTGCCTCAAGTCACAAGAGAGGACTGGTATTATTACCTAGCAATTCAGTACTAAGTCTGCTCTATATATAATGAGAAATCTGATCTTAAACAATCTGACAAGTAGATTTTGAACAGAAGATAAGTAAAAATTCAATGAGAGAGAAAGAATGAACACTGTGAACGGTGTGGCAGTTAGGGCAAGGATAATTTTTTTTACTCATCAGTCCCCAGGAACAGAATCCGACTATTTGTAACAATAGGTGAGGAGGTGGAAGGTCATTTTAATCACACACATTAATCCAGAACGAGAAAATAAAAAAAAACAAAAACAAACAAACAAAAAAAAACACTTTACTTCAACAAGACTCCTAGAAGTAAAAACTAAGAAAATACAGAGTGGCAGTCATTTTTAGACTTTAGAAAAAAAAAGAAAAAAAAGAAAAAAAAAGCTAACAAAAGTTTTAAAACAATATGAATACTGTATTTTTTTTTCGCTAGATAGCCAATGATTGTATTTACAAAGACACAAGAAGAACTAGTCTAAGTTTTACTTAGAACTGACTTGTTAAAAAGAGAAAAAAAAGACAATATAGAAGATGACTTGTTCGTAAATTAATAACAATTATTTATAAATTATTATAATTCTTATAAAAAGTGAGAAATAGAAAATGCGACAGAATTATATTTCACAAGGTCAACTGTGCTGTAATAATTCAGTCAAGGTTAGAAATTGAAAAATTAACTCAACAAAAAGGAAGAACTTGTTAGTAGAGAAAGAAAACATCAGAACAAGTTAAAAATTAAAAAAAATAAAAAGAATCAAGCAATGATACCGTCCCCATCAACGAAATCTACTTTTAATTTATTTTAAGGTGTGTTCACAGGCTATAAAAGTAAATAATACTGTTTGTTAAACGTTAATTTAGTGTTAAACTGAATAATATTTATTTTGACAATAAATGTAGTTTACTAGTTCAAAGATAATTAAGATTAATAAAATTATGTAATTTAATTTAAA